GGCCACATAAAAAAAATATTTGTTTTTGTTCTGAGAAAAAAAGTCAGAATTCTGAGATTAAAGTCAGAATTCTGAGATTAAAGTCAGAATTCTGACTTTTTTCTCAGAACAAAAAATAATAATATTTTTTTCAAATCCTCAAAAAAAAAATGTATGTGGCCCTAATCCTCTTTCGTAGAAATGAACAGTTTCATACAGGTTGAAAAAATTCCAAAAAAATCCTTTGAACAGATCACTTTAGCTAAAGAAGTGTTTTTGAAAACCAGGAAATATACTCCAATATATGTTATATATTCAAGATTAATTATATTTTGAAGATACAGGATTTTTAGGAGACAGCAGACACCAACTGCACATGTGTATATGTGTGTTTTTGAATAGGACTACTGAGCAGAGTGTGTGGCTTCTGGTTTTTCCGGCAGATGTTTATCACCTCTTCTCACCCATCATGTGTTAATCTTTCCCTGACAGCAGGGTGTGTTTTTGTTTTGCAGATGTCTCTTTCCATAAGAGTGTGTTGAGCTCCATAACAACCAGGAGTCACTCGGCAGAAACTGGAACCCTTCACTGCCAAAGTAAGCAGTTTTGACCAGATAGGATCAGAACAACAGAGGCCTGGCTAGAGGGATAATAAGGGCTCTGTGATAATACACAACGCCTGTCTTTTATCACCCAGTCAGTCCTGCTTTTTGTAATAAATCCACCAGACAAAAGCAATTCTACATGATTGTCCCAGAAGAACATGTATGCCACAGCAATACACGCAGCTACACACACACACACACACACATACATACATACATACATACACACACACACACACACATGGCAGTACATTATTAAACAACGTTTTTTTTTCTTTTGAAGTTGAGATCTGCATGCTGCAAACAGAGCAGTTTACTCTTTTGACCAGAGGGTAACAGTTGTTCTGTGGGCAGGACGCTTCATGCATAATTTCTTTGGCACCAGTTCTGTGGAGGAAGAGTTGTACAGACGGCAGGCCACACTATAGCAGCCAAGAAAACAGAAGGGTGCGATGCTTTCAGTATAGATATTGGAGAAACAGCTGCAATATTGATGCTATATTACCTCTGTTTTCAGCGCTACACCTCTCTCCCATCTATTTTACACCTGTAGAGCCAATGAATGGGAGTCGGAGGTGGCGTGTTGAGTATGGAACTCCACACTTTATTTTCCATTAAAGGGGACCTATCATGCAACATGCACTTTGTGATGTCTTTTATACATAAATATGTGTCCCCGGTGCGTCGGGGAACTCACGCAGCGTCAGAAAATAAAACCCTCTCTCTTTTCCTCCGTACCCAAATCTTTTTAAAATGGGTGTACAACGAGTGGATACAGATTTGCTGCCGATCTGACGTCAAATCGGCAGCGGACCGACAGAAAGTTGCTATCAGAAACAATGCCTGACGTGCAGGGCCGCCCCTCCCTACAGGCCAATCACGCAGGCTGCATGGGGCCCCGCCTTGCGCAGGGGGCCCCGTCCAGAGGGCCTCAGCTGCACCGCGCAATTCTCCGCGCACCCCCCGCGAGAGTGAGAGGTGACAAGGGGAGCACGTCTGTAACTCGACACCGTTGCAATGAATCGACATCTGACCAATCACGGCTTTGATACGGCCACTAGTGCAGGTGAAGAGATATCGGTGAAAAGACAGTTTCAGTCCGGTGCAAGCAAGAGGGAAAAAAACAAAACATGAAGAAACTAGAGCATCACTCGAAGGTGGGTTATTGTATGAGTCAAATGTACAACTTGCGAATGTTGTATAAGTGAAATTGCCAATTGCCATATTAAAACATCAGCTGCAATTCACAACATGAAGCATATAGGCCAGGGGTGGGGAACCTTTTTCTTCTCAAGGGCCATTTCAATTTTTTCAACATCCTCCGAGGGCCGCACAAATGATTGACCTCTGCTTAAAAATACTACAATCACAGCCCATTCATTTGGCCTTTCTTTCATGCTGCGCAAAGAAAAAGCAACCTCTTAATCCAGATATCTTACCATGACTCGCGCACGCATGCATGTGCACGGTTGTGGCATGACCACCAAAACAGAAAGATATGGACACAAGATGTGTGCAAATGTATTTAGTTTCCTATCCATGTGGACATGATTTAAGTGGGGGGGGACCTAACCTCCTCTAGGGCGGTCCAGGGGTGCATGCTCCCCCGGGAAGATTTATTTTTAAATATTGAAGTTGAAAGCATCAATCTGGTGCACTTTGAGAGCAAAATGAAGAGATCTATGGAAACATCTCTCAACACCCATTTGAAACAGAACTGTAAGCAGATTTACTTTTTCTTTATGGATATTTTACAAATCACTCTCCTTTCAAACTGTATTCTTGTTTATTAATAACAACTTTTTTGTACTGTCATATAGTATTTTATACCTGTTTACTTAATTCTCTTGTTTTTTGATAACTATAATGGTCATATAAAGATGTGCCTTCACCTCACTGGTTGGAGACAAAGCTTCTTATATTCGTTAGCATTGCTAGCTAACCAGATGCTAATAACAACAAAGTTATTGACTGTATGATCAGTATGACAGATCGCCACTGGTCTTACAACTAAAGACAAAGCCACGCAAAAACTGCAGCATGTGTACGGATTTATGGGTACTGCAATTTGTTGAAGTCCCGGAGCGGCGTTCTGGTGCTCTCCGTCAGAATTGCACCCCTGTCAGACGAGACATATACCACGTGATGACACGTTAGGCTCGTGTTGTGTTCAAGGACCATGACCGTTGCCAGGAAAAACAGGTACTTATTTTTTTCTTTTTTGCGTGTGTTTATAAATTACCTCGAGGGCCACACCAAATGGTCTCGCGGGCCGTATACGGCCCGGGGGCCGGAGATTCCCCACCCCTGATATAGGCTAATGGAGATGCAGTTATTTCCAGCATTCTTTATTTAACATTCATTCAAGTATTTTATGCCTTTTATCTGCTAATGTACAGGAGGAAAAGTGATAAACTATCTGTCTAGTTGGCTTACATAACAGTTCAAGTTTACAGCCTAAAAAACATGGAGCATTGTTTCCCCTTTTATTCATTTTTATGTCAATTTGCACATTTCATGGTGATGCTCAGCCTCTCCCCTTAACTCCTAACAGTCATCATCATGTCAACCACAACACAGAGAAATACTAATAGAAATGTGTGTGTAGTTGTTGATACATTGTTGACAGAGGGAACTACATTTGAATACAGATTTAAGAAATATCAGTTTTTGAGCATGTCATAAGCATGTTTTGTCTTGACTATATTATGATAAAATAATATAGTATTTATATTATTGAATTGATTATGATTATTATTATTAGTAGAAGTAGCTTATTTGCATTAATTATATTTTAATCTTTTTGAGGCTAGTATTTGGCAGGAAATGCAGACGTATTCATCTGTAAACGCATACTGAACGACATACATGCACATTTACCATTTACCTCACTGTATACAAAAGTAACTGTGTTGATGATAATAATAATAATAATAATAAACAGGAATTATATTTGCAAAGTAGCCTACTTTGTTTCCCAAAAAAAATGCACTCCTGTCGGTTGGGGCGGCCTCATCTCACAATGTTGCTTGGGGCCCCAAGTTGGCCAGGGGCGGCCCTGCTGACGTGTTTTGGACGTAATCTCGTCTTTGTTTACATTAGCAAGCCTTGCTAACACTCAGAGCTAACCTGTACTGTAGAGCACATGTGTTTAAAAAGCATGAAATCAAAAAAGGAACTCACCTTGTGAGAAACCCGAAAGAGAAAAAGCATTTGAGCTTTCAGAAATAATCTTTGATATGGTTTAGAACAGAATGGCGTTTTATCACAGCAGAATTTAACTTTATCTCCGGTGTCGGTACCATACCCAAGCGGCAAACTCTGGGGAACAGCCGGGACGCCAATACGGAAGTGCCACACACTGCAGTTCATACATGGGCCGCTAGGGACTGGCTGCAGAAAGGAGTAATTTCCATAGACCCCATGTTAAAATGCCCAACTTTACAGCAGAAAAAAACATGTTTCTACCATAGACTGTATATATAAATGGACGTAGTGTCCGTGACGTCACCCATAGGATTCTGCAGAGTTGCGGTGAAGCCCTTAGTAGGCGGAGTCGGCCACTAACGGCTCGACTGTGACGTCAGAGTATAATCCCACCTGCTCCAAATAAAGGCAAAGAGGCGGAGCCGAGGCGGGACCTGCTGCCTCCGAACTGGAAGTAAACAGAGCTAGCTCAGGCTAAGAAGCTAAGCTAACATGAAATACATGCATACCAAGTTACTGCTAACAGTGTAATTCCCCTATATAAACGTTACATTCATAATCAAATGAGACAATCTGCAAGAGAATTAGCTATATTTTGTTATTCTTAATGCTTGTCATTCACACGTTGAGAAAAGACGGACTCCACCGCCCGGACCTAACGGAGCCGCAGTGGGCTAGCTCCGGGACGCCGGCTGGAGCTAGCCCCCTGCGGCTCCGTTAGCTCCGGCGGCCACCACTGGGATAATTGGGTCCCCTATTAACATTTGCTCCCGTTTAGCATTATGGGCGTCATAGCCATAGACTATAAAAGTCTTACCCAAGGCTGAATCATAAACTAAAATGTATATGTATGTATAAAGGGTTACGTCCTTAGCTGGCTAATAAGTAACAAGCTAAGCTACCAAGCACACAAACACCTGCGAACGGGGTTAACATGTATAATATTATAATTTTAGACTTCTTGGAAGTTCTGTTAGTACATTCAAGTACTGCGATTTGCCTTTTAGGGAATATTGTTACAAATACCAGACAATTAAAATGTCGTGCTGTGCACTTGAATCAGAGCTGCCAAGTCTCACCCTTTGAGAGTGAGAGTCACGCAATTTAACCTCTTCACACGCCTCACGCCACACTTGCCATTTCACACGCTTTTTCCCCCCTCTCACTACTTTATAATTATTTTTGTATTTAATGATATATTTCCATAACTTGTTGCTCGAGGCTTGCCGTAGTTCGAATCAGGGACAGGATGAGTCCGCCCTATTCTGCCCCCGATTGGCTGACCGAGATATGTGATAACCAATCATCAGCCCTCGAGGCTAAATCTAACCAACCCAACGAAAGGCACCACGTATACAAACCAATCAGAGGCAGTTTAGGGCGGGTCATTGCGTCTCTATCCTATGAAGAACAACCTAACTCTATGGCGGAGAAATCGAAAAGTAAACGTGAAACGTCTGTGTCAGCGCCTCAATAATGCCGTGACTGACATGTTCATCTGAAGCGGGAGGTCAAACGGTAGGTAACCACATTATTTTTACAAATATTTTTATTTTGATGAAGTCAACGGTGGGTCTGACTACGTGAGACTTAACGTTACACAGGCTGCTGGTGAGCAGTGTGGCAGGTTGCTGCGGTGGGTTTAACAACAACCGTGACTAATAGCAGTGTTAGTTAAATCATCACGTATTTGCGTGTGTGAGCTAATGGATACTTACTATGAGCTAAGGGAATTTACAGTACTGTACCTGTGCTGTTTGCATTTCTGTCTAATAAAATATTCAATCAATCAAACAGTTACATGTAGCTATATTTTGATCCAGAGGATCTGACACTGTGGATATGGGATACTGATTTAAAGGAAGCACCAATACAGTATGCTAGTAATAATGTACTATGTTTGTTCCCTTTTTCATTAGCACTCTACTTCTAGGTTAAATGTAATTTTGAAAATCTTTTCTGAAATACAAATTTGTAGATACGGAGTTTCATCCGCAAGTTGCTCTCGAAGTTTCTGAAGCCAGCAGCACTGCAGCACCGGGAATTGCATGAAATCCTCTATAAGGACCCATCAAACCAACTGCCATAGGTAATCCTCCAAGTTTCACATCAGCAGATGCACATACACTATCCACTCACTGATCTCACTCACATAATACTGTTTGTGTTTGTTAGAGGGCTGCTTGTGCAGACAAGTTATGAGTTTGATCATCTCATCTCATCACACACATAGGACCACAATGGAAACAAGTCCACAGGACTTTTTTATGTTATCCTTTTAGCCCAAATGTGTGACTGTACCTTGTGCTGTTTGCATTTCTGTCTAATAAAGTATTCAATCAATCAATCACTAATGTGATGAAGATACTTAAAGGGGTGCTTTCAAGTTAGCTATTGTGGTTGTTGATGATTGCTAAAGGGACTCAACACCGGTCTTATTCCCAGTCTCATACTAACATGTTGGTGTTGGGAATGAGAACATATTGCATCAATCTTTCTCCAGAATCGCATACAGCACCTTAATGACCTCTGTGATGTTGTTGATTTATTGTGTCTCTCGTAGGAGAAAAGCTGGTGATCGGCTTCACTACTCGAGCTACACTCAACAGGCTCCTTGATGCAGGAGACATTACACCGCAGCAAGTGCAGAGGTTCCAGCAGGCAGCAGTGGCGTTTCTGGTGAGGGCTGTGGAGTATGCCATGAAGAAATTCCACATGAGAGCCCCTGATAAAACATGCCATGTTTCTGGATGTCCAGCAGAGGGTAGAGTGTGGAGTGGATGACGCCTTGTACTTTGTCGACAGGTTAGTTGGGGTATCAAGTCAAGTACATTTATCTATAGTGCCAAATCACAACACAAGTTATCTCAATATACTTAATAAGTAGAGCAGGTTAAAGACTCTTGGCTCTTGTCACATTTTCTTAACATTTTCTTAATAGATTGTAAAGTTTAATGACCACATCTGAAAAACAACCCGTTTCAGCTACATTACTTGACCAGATCAGTGCACATTGTGTTATTTTTAGGTTTCCTGAACTTCTCCCATACAACGGACCTGACGAGCGTGACAAACTGAGTGAGGAGTTTTTGGACTATCAGTCCATGGACATTGCCATGCCCGAAGACCATGACATTGAGAGCTTTTGGGGGAACTTGGCATCAATGAAGAATAAGGTAAGAATTATTCTGCACCCTTTGAAATACCCATTGACGTAATCAACTTAATTCTATACAAAAATAATTGAGAGTAATTAGGCTTCCTACATTTTTCAAAGGTGACCGGTATGAGCAGATTTGGGAGGCTCTCCCGTATTGCCAAGTTGGTGTTGGTACTTCCACATTCAAATGCTGATGCTGAACGAGTGTTCTCTGTGGTGGGACTGAACAAAACCCGAAAAACTGTTTGGCTCTTGATGGAACTCTATCATCCATCATGACTGTGAAGATGGCAAACCTTGAGCCACAGCGTTTCAAATGGGAGCCCCCTCCCTCTCTCATCAAGGCATCAACATCTGCCACAAACACCTACAACATGATACATGTCATGTAAACCAAAACACACAAACAAAGACATGCACTTTATTTATTTATAATATATATATATATATATATATATATATATATATATATATATATATATTATATATATATATATTATTCTGGTTCTAATTTTGTTACTCTTAAAAAAAAAAATGCACTAAAGGAAAAGGCTGCTATTTACGGAGCCCCTAAAGGGACATGGAAAAAAAAAAAAAACAGAGAGAAAAAAAAATAAAGTCAGGAAAACGGATTTGTTTCTCGTGCGCACGAGAAACAAATCCGTTTTCCTGACTTTATTTTTTTTTTGAAAGTTACCGATGCACCAAGGAGGAAGTGGAACACGAGACAACCCATTTCATTGCAGACTGTTATGTTTACGTGGGGAAATGACAGTGCATACATTATTTGAGATATATTTTGAAGTCAGACTTAATTTTATGGACATTTCGGCCAGGGGTGTAGAGCTATTGGTTTAAGCACCGGATTGGCAAAACACTGGCGAGTCTGTAAACCAGTCTGCTTTGATCTATGAATTAATGTCCGTGACTCTCAGAGTACCTGCTGCCTGCAGCTGTTTTACACACACTCTCACACACACACACACACACACACACACACTGGCCATCGGGACGAATCCCATTGGGCCGGTACCAAAGTGGGCCGCCCGTCACTAGCCGTCTAAGTACGATAGCCTATATATCTCAAATAATGTATGCACTGTCATTTCCCCACGTAAACATAACAGTCTGCAATGAAATGGTTGTCTCCTGTGCGCTTCACTTCCTCCTTGGCGCACCGGTAACTTTCTCAACAAAAAAAAGTGCGCACGAGTTAGTAAAAAAAAAGTCAGGATAACGAGTTAGTATCTCGTGCGCACGAGAAACATTCTCGTACGCACGAGAAACATTCTCGTGCGCACGAGAAACTAACTCGTTATCCTGACTTTTTTTTTTTACATGTCCCTTTAGGGCAGTGTTTCTCAAACTTTTTCATTCCAAGGACCACTTAACCAATAAAAAAACACTCGCGGACCACCTAACTCCACAAATATAAAAAAACACATCGTTTTTCTAGAACAGATTACAAATCGCCTGAAAATGCTACAAACAAGTGGTAACATGTGTGATGAAGGTGTTGCGCTGGGCTATATCATGCAACCAAAAGTGAAACTTAACCTTGCTCCAGTGCGGAGATATTCCTGCGAGAGTACGGAAAACTGAAATGTATTTATTTATTTCAAATGTGAAATGTTACCAATATACTCACGGACCACTAGGGGGCGCTCACGGACCACCAGTGGTCCGCGGACCACACTTTGAGAAGCACTGCTTTAGGGGCTCCGTAGCTATTGGTTCTTAAAAGGCTGCTATGTTTTCTTTATATTGACATTTTATAAATAAATGTATTTTATTTGTCAGACTTTTATTTGTTACAATTGTTTTCATTTCTACTTGTGCTGGTCAATTATTAACACTATATAAGCATGAGGAGGCCGACAGTGCAGGGAGAGCAGCTGGCATGGGGGTGAAGACATCACAACAGTCTTAATGTTCATTTAAATTGAGATATTCCTCTAAATTGACGTTAAAAAAGGCAACAAAAAAAATCAAAACGCATCTTCCCCCGAAAGTCTCACTCCTACTTTTTACTGAAACTTGGCAGCCCTGCTTGAATGTACTAACAGAACTTCCAAGAAGTCTAAAATGATAATATTGTAATGATCACAAAGGGAGTCGGAAACAGGCTGCTAGTTATTAGGCTTTAATAACTCTTCTTCTTTACAGATGATCACAAGTTCAGGAACAGCTTGTGGGTTCAACCTCACACTAACACTAACTCCTACACATAACCATATATATAACAGTGTCTACGTCACAACTTCCCGCCCTCCCCCGTCTGCTCCCCCAACCACAGGCCCGCACCTCAACCAGCATCACTGTGCAGCTCTATGATTGGCAGAGAGACGGGGGATGCCTGAGTGACACCCTCAGCATCCTATACAGGGTCGCTACACTACCCCCCCACTACAAAGTTCCTCGCCCACGAGGAACAAATAAAACTCAGCACAAACACTACCCCCACCCTCTCCAGTACTCTGCAGGGACCAACCCACTGGCTGTCCAGTTTTGGGCACCAGCCTTTCTTCCATTGTGGGCTGTAGACCCAAACATCGAGCCCTCTCTGTGTTGGGCGTTCTGCTCCATGGTACTCCTCTCCGCTATAGCTACGCTTGCCTGCTTCTGGGCCTCATCCAGCTGAGATTTACAGGTATCCAACTCTGCTTCTGTCCTTTTCAGGTCTTCTAGAGTTTTCGAAGTCTCCAGTTGGGATTGTTCGAGCTTATTCTGGAGCTCGTTGTAACCTTGCTGCAGCGCCTTAGCGTCTCTACCCATCTCGCTGATCCTCTCCTGGTACTTGATGCAGTCCCTCTGCAGCTGCCGGACCTCCAGCTGCTTCTCCCTCAGCAGCTCCTCCAGCTGCTGCGCTCTGCTCTGCTCTGGCTGCCTTCCTTGACTGCCTTCCCTGACCCTCTGAGCGGACCTCAGCTGCTGCTCCAGCTCCCTCTGCTTACCAGACTCTGCTTCTGCTCTCTCTCTCTCTGTGCTTGCCTCATGTCCTCCTCCAGCCTGGCGGCCCGGTCGCTCTCGCTCTGCGCCTCAGCCTCCAACTCAACCTCACACTAACACCAGAGCCATATAATAATAATTATTTGATATGGCTCTGACTAACACTAACTCCTACACATAACCATATATATAACAGTGTCTACGTCACAACTTCCCGCCCTCCCCCGTCTGCCCCCCCAACCACAGGCCCGCACCTCAACCAGCATCACTGTGCAGCTCTATGATTGGCAGAGAGACGGGGATGCCTGAGTGACACCCTCAGCATCCTATACAGGGTCGCTACAATATTATACATGTTAACCCCGTTCGCAGGTGTTTGTGTGCTTGGTAGCTTAGCTTGTTACTTATTAGCCAGCTAAGGACGTAACCCTTTATGCATACATATACATTTTAGTTTATGATTCAGCCTTGGGTAAGACTTTTATAGTCTATGGCTATGACGCCCATAATGCTAACAGGGACCAAATGTTAATAGGGTACCCAATTATCACAGTGGTGGCCGCCGGAGCTAACGGAGCCGCAGGGGGCTAGCTCCAGCCGGCGTCCCGGAGCTAGCCCACTGCGGCTCCGTTAGCTCCGGGCGGTGGAGTCCGTCGTTATAACTGGAGATCAAGGAATGCAGCGAAACGCAGACTTGGTTCGCCTGCTGTAGTATTAGCTAAATAAATTATGTTGAACAAGGCTTATTAAGCTGAACATCTCCACAATTGTTCTGCTACGTATCGGTACTTCTTTTCTTAACGTGTGAATGACAAGCATTAAGAATAACAAAATATAGCTAATTCTCTTGCAGATTGTCTCATTTGATTATGAATGTAACGTTTATATAGGGGAACTACACTGTTAGCAGTAACTTGGTATGTATGTATTTCATGTTCGCTTAGCTTCTTAGCTTGAGCTAGCTCTGTTTACTTCCAGTTCGGAGGCAGCAGGTCCCGCCTCTTTGCCCTTATAGAGAGGCGAAGTCACGCCCATCTACTTTCGGTCCATGGGACCCCGGAAGCGAAAAATTATACATTGAATTCAATGGAGAGAGAACGTATCTTTTGATCCCGTTTGAATTGTGCCACAAACTACACATATGATGTTTGTCAATCTTAAATAATCATTTCCATGATGTCATATTTTGTCGTAAAACTGTTGAAATATAAGACTATGAAAAATACGCGACTACAAAGACTACAAATCCCATTCTGGGTCGCGTAAGTGATGTCACAGGCGATAATGCTCCAAGTGGTTGGTTCACTTTTACAAGATGTCTGTGTGCTTTGTACCAGGTTGTAATCACAAAAGTGATCATACCACTTGCTCGTTCTATCGCTTCCCGTCTGATGAAAGGACCAGGAGTCGCTGGATCAGATATCAGGTAATATCATAGGTAATATACATGTTCTGCATGGAACATAGTCAAGTTAGCTACCTAGCTAGTAGCGACGAGTAGCGAGCACGTTAGTTAGCATTACATTACTTAGCCTTGTCATTTTTAGTAGCCTTACCATGAAGTTATTATTTTATTACATGAAGTAAACCAAAATGTTAAACAGTAACCAAACATGATGGTAAGTATTTCGTGAAACATTTGAAGAGTAGCCTACTGCGC